CGCAGGGCACTGTCACCCGTGCAGCTCGTGTTTGTCCGGGGCTACGAGAGCTCTGTGCTGCCGGGTGGTACAGCGAGAATCACAGAATGGTTTGGGTTGGAAAAGGAGCTTAAGTATTATCTCGTCTCGCCCCCTGCCATGGGCAGGGACACCTCCCACTAGAACAGGTTGCTCAGAGTTCCCTCTAACCTGGCATTGACCTGGCATTGAACACTTGCAGGGATGGGGCAGTCACAGCTGCTCTGGGCAACCTGTGGCAGTGCCTTACCACCCTCACAGGGAGAATTTCTTCTTAGAATCGTAGAATCAATCTGTTTGGAAGCGACCTCAAAGGCCATCGAGTCCAACCCTACCATCATTACTAGACCATGGCACTAAGTGCCACATCCAGCCTCATCTTGAAAACCTCCAGGGATGGTGAATCCACCACCTCCCTGGGCAGCACATTCCCATGCCTGACTACTCTCTTGATATCTTGCCCAAGTTTTCCCTCTTTCAGTTTGCACTCATTGCTCCTTGTCCTGTTGCTGTGAATGAATGAATGAAAGCTGAGAGGTAAACAGAAGTAACAATTAGCTCAAGTCTTCCAGTGTGCCTCCATGTGGATGTTAGTGCTCTGGAAACACTTAATTGTGTGTGAGTGACTTTACTGTCCTCTTGCTGTTAGCACACCAAATGTTTGCAGGTGACACCGAGCAGGCTTTGAGGTGAGGGCCAGAGACTGAATCTGAAATAGGAAATAAAAAGTACTTGTATGTGGCCATAGTTTTATTTTCACTGAATAGAAGTACTTGGAAATAGAGATGCTTAAAGGGAAAATGCAAAGAAATCTAGTAAAGTGTGTCTTTGTGGCCAGGAGAGCCAGTGATGTCCTGGAGTGCATTGGAAAGAGAGTGGCCAGCAGGTCAGGGAGGTGATCCTCTCCCTCTGCTAAGTCCCAGTGAGGCCACATCTGGAGAATTGTGTCCAGTTCTGGGCTCCACAGTTCAAGAAAGACAAGTAGTTACTGGAGAGGCTCCAGCAGAGGCCACAAAGATGATGAGCGATCTGGAGCATCTCACTTATGAGGAGAGACTGCTGGAGCTGGGCCTGTTTAGTCTAGAGAAGAGAAAAGTGAGGGGGATCTCATCAATCCATATACATATCTCCAAAGAGTATCTGAGGACGGTGCCAGATGCTGTTCAGTGGTGTCCAGCAACAGGACAAGAAGCAGTGGCCATAAAGTAGAACACTACAAGTTCCACCTCAACATGTGAGAACTTCTCTACACTGAGGGTGGCAGAGCACTGGCAGAGGTGCCCATGGAGTCTCCCTCTCTGGAGACCTTCACACCCTGCCTGGATGAGTTCCTGTGTCAGCTACTTTAGGTGACTCTGCCTTGGTGGGGGATTGGACTAGGTAATCTCCAGAGGTCCCTTCCAACCCTAACAGTTCTGTGATTCTGTGATAAGAGTTTAAGCTGCAAGGTAAAGGGGAAAGTTAGGTGTTGGATTTAAATTAACATCTCATGTATGAGGCGTTTCTGGCATGATTGGCACAAAAGGAAACGTGTCTGTCTGCTTGATAAGCACCACAGCATCAATTATGAAGGAGGGTGTGAGAAATGTGGGAAAAAAAGTTAAAATAGCTAAGTTTGGTAGCAGGATACTAGAAATGCAGGTCTTGGAGACCCAGTCAAGGCCAAGCATGAAGACAGGCAGCAGAGGGGGCTTAGGAGCATTCAAGGGCAATGATTTCTTGAGAAATTTGGGTGCTGTGCTGTTACTGGGATGGGCAGTAACCCTTGGGGTTAATTTATCTTCAGAAAGAGAATTTTCTTTTCTTAGTTCCTCATTTGAGACTTTGAGTTAATTCCAGTGCTGAGACTGTTGGTTTTAACTGTCAGAGACAAGAAGAGTAAGTTAAATACTGTGAAATATCTGAAGATATTTCATCAGATATTTTTGAACTCACTTCTGCCTGGAGAAATCTGGAGTCACCAGTGGAGTAGTGTGATAAATACCTGCAGAGAACCACTGCACTGCTTGATGCTTGGAAAGTTAAATTTGCAGCTGGAGTCTGGAACATAATTTTTTAAGTGATGCACTGAATGGTGTTATAAACCACCAGTAACTGCACCTAGTTTTTCCCAAACAAATTAATTTTTCAGTGCTAAAAAATGCTGCTAGCAAAATAGTAATAACTAAACATTAAAACTTTTCATAGTCTATAAAGTGCAGTAATTTTTGTCTTCTGAGGAGCTGATAGTGCATGATTCCATTTTGTTTTGTGCACAAAAAATAGAGGATGTGCATTGTCTGCCCTGAACTTTCACATGGTATCTTAATTTTAAGCCTTAATATTTACTAAGCTGTTTTGACACAGTGCTGTAATACTCTTGCAGAGCTAACAGGATTTTTGCAGAGACCTTGGTGAAGCTTTGCTCTCTCCTCCCAGGAAATCATCATGATTAAAAAGATTAAAAAGGCAGAGTGTGTGTTTCTGCATTTCCAGGCAGGTTGTATTTGAGTAATATAGGAAGGCTCTTCTGCTGCAGAAGGCGGCATTAAAAATAGTTTGCTCCCCCTGTAAACATTCCTAGTTCATTGTTGAAAAGATCTTGTGTAAAATGCCTGCAAATTTTTTCAGTTCTCTAGGAATTCTAGTCAAATATACTGATATATTCTGATGTGAATCAAGTCACTGATACCTTCTGCTGAGGGAATAATAGTCCTGGACCATTTATCTTTTTCCAACAGTTATTTTGGGACAATGACAGTGGTGTTCCTTTTTCTTTTCTCCCTTTCCCTCCACTAAGCAGAGAATATTCACTTCTAAAGTGACTCTGAATCCATTGTAGCAGAAGTGATTACTAACAGTTAGGAGTGGCTAGAGAAGTGTCAGAGTGGTGATTGCAGCAGCTGTTGGGAGTTGGCCTGTGTTCTCCTTGCCAGATCCATACCTTGTGCTGTGTCTGCAGGAGGAATGAATACTCATTTCCTATGACTGCATATTTATCTTACAGGCAGCCGGTAATTCCTTTGGAGTCCTGCCTCCAAGTGTTTTCCTTCCAGAATACAGATTGTTTCTGCTCTTCTGAAGGAAAGAGTACTGGAGAAAAGGGCAGATTGCAATTGTTCTATTGCCTTCAGTCAGCACATCCATTGAAAATACAATTGCAATTCCCTTTTCCATTGTAAACAAGCACTGAGAGTGTCTGCAGTAAATTGGTTGTAGCAGGTTACTTGTTGGTGTTAGTTCTGAGTGGTTAAAATGCTCATGGTAACGGTTTAAGTGGTAGGTGACTCTGTAGAGTTTGAACACCCTGCACTCTGCAGCCCTGCTGAAAGCTGAGCCCTTACACAAGTTTGGGAAGTGCAGTGTTGCTGTGACAAATCCCTTACAGCTGTTTTGAAATTTATTTGCAATAACTAAATAGAAGTCCTGAAATAGTCAGGGTGATCCTCCCTTACTCCTGAGCTCTTCAAGCAGCAGCAAACCATGAGCTAGATCTACATTGCAGCCCAAAGTGCAGTTGAAATATGTTTAGGTAGATCTGGCTAAGAGGAGCAGTGAAAGCTGTGATGGTGTGTGTGTGGGGGGGGGGCTTCTGTTTTTGTATTTCAGGTTAGACTATACAAAACTGCTTGAAACTTCAAAATACATATAGATACAGACACACACTGGGCTGCCAAGCTGGTTTTGTGTCCTGTAGGTTTCTAAATGCTCTGGTCACAGGGAAAGCAGTAATAAATGCAAAGATCTTTGCAGCTGTGTTGCTGCTGTTGCTGTTTTTTCTCTCCAATCAGTCTGTGTGAGAGTCAAAGGAAGGCTTTAGAGGTTTAAAATTAAAAGCAGGATGTATTTCTAAGTATGGTCTTCAAGGTACCTTATTGTAAAATGATAGTTTCAGTCATAACTTGACACTTCTGGTCCAGTTTCTCACACCAACCTTGCATCCATGGACTTTTTTGATAAGCAGCTTCCAAAGACCTCTCTGTCTGTTATTGGAGGAATTGGTGTCTACAGAACTTACTATATTTGTCCACTCAGGGAAATTTCTTAATTTAAAATGGCTTTAGATTGGATGTTCTCAGTTCCTTCACAATTTTTTTGCATGACTTTTTCCTGATACCATGGTTTGTTACATGCCTACATTTGTTTCTGTTTCAGAGATTGGAATGGGACTAACAGGCTTTGGAGTGTTTTTCCTTTTCTTTGGAATGATACTGTTCTTTGACAAAGCTCTTTTGGCCATTGGAAATGTAAGTGCCTTCTCTGTGCTGCTTAGAATTGAGTATGTGATATATTAAAAATGAACTAAAAATAGAACAATGTTACCAGTTTGAGGCTGGATCACAAAAACTACTGAGGGGATTTGGTATAAAGGGAGAGTTGTGCAGTGAATCATTTCTCCTGATTGAAGTTAGAACAGCTCACAGGAGTCTAAACATCATAGCTCCAGGTCAGGCCTGTGGGATGTTGGTCAGACAAGAAGCAGCTTGTTCCACAGTTGTTGTGCTGCTGCAAATGTGGTTTTCAGATTGGCTGTCATTATCAACACACTGGGTTTTGTGATCTTGTAGGATGAGTGGCAATTTAAAGTGTATATCTGGATAAGAATAGTTAGTGTTCTGTATGTGCTGGCAAATGCAGCTTTGCTGTGCTTTGAGGGAGGAAAGAAGTATGGATTGCTGGCAGTCTGTGTTTAGGAGAGCCACTCACCCTTCGTAATAGAGAGATTTAGTATCTTTCACCAAATCAAAGTTGTAGCTTAAAGCAGCACAGAAAATAAATCCTACTTCTGGTACACTAAATTCCCAACCCACACAAATATAAAATGACAGGGTGTTTTCTGCATGTGATAATCTCTGTGCCTCTGAGTTCTCAGCTTTGCCATCAGCCTGGTAGAGGTTCACACACTCTGTGCAGATGCCTGAAAGTCTGAGGTCAAAACTGATCCGTTTCACTCTGTGGCAGCAGAGTCAAAAACTGAGATTCACTGAAGGGAAATATAAACCTATATGTCTGAATTTGGGTGCATTAGTTGAAGCATTGTTATGAACCATCAATAAAGTATGGAGTGCAGAGTAACAAAAAATAATGCTTAATTTTTCTTTTCCTAATGTAAGGTGGAAATACAAGATCCTCTTTAGGAAAAATGGTGAAAACATAGGTAGGAAGAGACAATGACAGGCTATGTAGTAACCAAAGATAATGCAAGAGAAGATGCTGTATCCTTGCAGAAAGGTGTTTTTTTTGTTCAAAATCAAAGATGTATCAGAAAGGGCAGGAGGTGATAAGAAAGCAGTGTATTAAATAACACAAAATTGAAATTTCATCTATAATCTTGAGCCCATGTTGTTGTTTGAGTCCAAAACCATGTTGAGTAAAACCATGGTTGAGATACCATCCCTTTCTCAGCAAAAATACTGCCCAGGTGTGTGCTTAGAAGCTGAAATAATTGCAAGTCCTGTTGCTGTATGACACTAAAAATAGTTCTAACTAGCTGGGTCTAGTGCGATAGAGTTTAGTCTATACTGGAAGATGTGAACAGTGGAAAGACTCTACACAGTAAAGAAAAAAAAAATCCTAAACAACCAAAAACCACAAAACAACTGATAAGGCTGTTCAGCTGTTTTCTTTTTTTAGGCTTTGCACTAGGAGCAGATCGGTAGAAGCTGCTGAAGATGCCAATAGTACACACCAGAAGTGCTTCTGTGTTCATAGTTGTTAGGAACCTTTGCTGTCAGTGGTACTAGGCTTCAGCACTGCTTGTGGTAAGATTAGACTTACCTGCCAGGAAAGATACAACTGTTGTCATCAGGTCTTTTGTCTGGATTGTGTTTATCAGAGACCACAATCTTTCCTAGATTCTTTTTAAGCAGCTGAGAGCTACAAATGCTTTAAGATGGACTTTACAAAAGAAAATCTGTAGTAAACTCATTCTCACCATTTGCCTTTTGGTGTTATAGGAAGTTGTACAAGAAATGCAGTCTGATTTTGTAAACTATTTATCTGTTTACATCCTGAACTAAGGAATATAACGAGTTTTCTTTCTTTGGTTTGTTTTTGTCTTCTCCAGGTTTTGTTTGTGGCTGGCTTGTCTTTTGTTATTGGATTAGAAAGAACATTTAGATTCTTCTTTCAAAAACACAAAATGAAAGCAACAGCCTTTTTCCTGGGTGGTGTGCTCATAGTTCTCATTGGTTGGCCTTTTATAGGAATGATCCTTGAAATTTATGGGTTCTTCCTATTATTCAGGTAAGTCCTGTTTCAAAATAACTTTCTGTGTTGGTGTATCCAGGAATAAATGTATTTGTGGAGTGTTGCTGTGTTACAGTTGACAAAGCAGCAACCTTTAAATACTCACATTTGACAGATCTTATATAAAGTTGTTAATTTACATTTGCCAGAGGTGGAAACTTGGTAAGTGTTTTTCCAAGACTAATGTTGGTGAGGCATATACCAAACTGTCTTTGGTAATGTTGTTGATGTCTAATCAAAGAATTGTAAAGCTTCAAAATATCTGGGAGCCCAAATTGTTACCAGTGCAAAGTTTAAATAGTTCCCGGTACAAGAAGGTGATACTTGGGGGGAGGGGGTTGGTGAGGAGTTTGTTCTTTTCTTCAATAAATGGGGCAAAAAAACCTTGGTTACAAACATCCTAGGTGTGTAACCATTTCATCACTATGGCAGCCCAGTGAAAAGGTGTTTTCTGACATGTTTCAGTACACTTGTGCCCTAGTAGGGTCAGAGTTGTTGGTTTGGCTTAGCTTTTTCTCAGCCAAGTTAAGGAAAAATGGAAAAAAATCTCATCTTTTTATTAGCAAACTTGATACAAGTTATAATTTTCACAATGTGTCATTTAACTTCATAACTGCAGTTGTAATAGTGAAAGAATTTGGCTTGTTACAACCTGTATTTGGTAAAACTAGTGTGCTGCTAGCAAGCCTTTATTAACAAGAACCCCAACAAGGTTCTTGTTAACAGAAGTATTTTAAACTTAAACCAAGGTTACATAAAACCTTGTTAAAAACACCTGCTATTTTTTTTCATTTTGTAGCAATATGAGAATGGTTTAATTACAAAAACTAATGAAGTTTTCTGATCTCTCACCTAAAGGGGGTTCTTTCCTGTGGTGGTTGGCTTTATTAGAAGAGTTCCAGTTCTCGGATATGTCTTGAATTTACCTGGTATAAGCTCGGTAAGTGTTTGGTACTTCATGCAGCAATCGAAGCTTGGACTGTGTTTTATTCCACTGTTGTAGCACCAGTAGAAATGCACTAGAAATAAAGCAAATGTAACTTTAGAGCAATGACTCTGAGTACATTCCTGTATAGTTTTTGCACCACACAGATCACATTGATTCCAGGGAGAGACTCATAGATGCAGAAGGACCCAAGGACACCTCTGCAGAAGCTGCACCTGCTTGTGTGTTGGGAAGTGGGAATAGCCCTGGATTGTGGCTTGGAATGTTGGGGTTCCTTCTGCTTCACTGTTGGCCCTGGGTGACCAGATAGGTGAATCCTGCCCCTGCCTGTGCCTCTCCTTTGGTCTGTGCAATGAGGAGGACACTGTTCTTTGTGCAGTGTTTGGATGTATTTATGAAAAGTGGCCTGTGAAAGCAAACAGTGTAGTTCAATGTTAAGTTGCAGCTTGTGTGGTGAATCCAGAAACTCTCGTGCTGCACAGTCACTCATCAGATATGTTTATTAGGGTTCACTGCACCAGGCAGCATCTTGCTGTTACTAATATTTGTATATTTTCAAATGGTGTTTCCATTTGCTTAACCAAATACCCAGGGATTTGAAGACAATTAACAGGTGCCAGAAAGAGGGTAATCCAGGATATTTCAGTCAACTACTTTTCTGTATGTATTTTAACACCTTAAGCATTTTTAACCCTAGTTTTGAAAGCAACAGTTTTAATAGCTGCTCCTAACAAATTAATAGGGGAATAACTTAGGTGTACACAGGCTGTTTTTAAAAAAAATCAGTGTACAATACCATCTGTTTCAGTCTCACAGTTAGGCCAAGTGCTGGATCATAATTCCTGATCAATTGAGTGTTTAATTTGTCAATTGATCTTACTTAGTCATATTTAATTTGATCATAACAGGGTTAAATCTTGTTTTAAAAAGATAATTGTCAATGTTTTATTCAAAGCCTACGTAGGCTCAGAAGAGAATCCACAGTAATGGTCAGTTGAAATATCTTACTTGGTCTCCTAATGCATGTGTGGCTGAGACTGTATTGTTTTGTTTTAACCATTAAGCTAGCAGTGTTATCTGCATTCTTCTATTTCCTTTTTCATTCTGTTGCATCCTCATGTTGCACTGTTAATGTCTCTATGAGAAAAAACATGTCATGCAGAAACACAATTGCAACGTAAGACTTTTAGTTTTCACAAACTTTAACCCATGAGACCTTGGTGAGTACTACTTGACTCTCATTTCCAGTCACATACTAACTGTGCAAGTAGCAAGTAATTCTTGAGAGCAACTTCACTGTACCTAACTGTCATCCACTTAAAACCTTTTTGTCTCCCTTTCTACAGCTTGTAGATAAAGTTGGAGAGAGCAACAACATGGTATAATGACGAGAGGGCAGAAGACTGGTTCTAAACTTACTGTATTATTTATAAAATCCTTTTGAAGAATCCTCAGCACAAAGATTAAGTTGTGTACAAAGGAAAAAAAAAAAAAGCTTGTTACATTCTTTACATAACAGTTTAATTTAAAATGTATAGTCGACAATATACATTAGAAGAGAAGCTCAGCAAGTGTGCTTCTAGGAAAGTAACTCCAGAGTTCAGGAAGGAAACTGAAGAGGTGAAAGTCATGGAATAACCCATGTTACAGCTGTTCAAGACTATTTTTTGTTGGTTTTGGAAAACATGCTAGAGGCAGCGAACCCTTGTGGAATTAACGGTGCCTGTGCTTTACCTCCTTATTTTGAAGGTGCAGTAGAGCACACAGGCCTACATTTTTAAGGGTGACCCAAACCTGTCCAACCCTCTGCTTGCTATCCTCAGAGTGCAAAAAATCCAACAGGAAACTTCTTGTGTAACAAGAGATGCGTCTTTGCATGAAGGTTAAGATGACTATTCATCTAGAAGTGTATTATGACAATAAAAAGGAAACCCTACACAGTTCTGTTTGTAAACATTTTTGTAAATATGTGGCTGAAATAAAACATTGTTATCTTAATGTTTCAAAGCCAAATGTTAGCTGATTGTATTTGCCTTCCGTTTCGGAATATGCAAAAGGTCAATCTTTAATAACTTCAGTCTTAACGTATGGAGCTCAACAGGGAACTCTGGAAACTCCTTCCAGGTGGTTCTCCTTGAGTCATGTTACATGTGCATCCAGATGAGAATGTAGCCCTTTGTCACTAACATGAAAACTCTGTGAAATATGCTTAGTTCACAAAAAAAAAATGCATTAGGATGAGGTGCTGAAGTGAACCCTGTGAAATGTAACTTAGGAGAATTTGGACCTTTGTTTTTAAAGAGTTTGAAACTAAGGTTTCTTTGTTTACTCTGGAACTACAAATTGACTTATTTTTTACTGTAATAAAACGAAAACTCAAAGTTCTGTGTATGTGAGTCTCTGGGGAGGAAACTGAGGCAATGGGGCTAACTAACTGAAGACCAAGTGCCAATCTCTGTATGTTTGTAACTTGTTATTTGGGTCATCTACAAATAATTTAAAACTTCTATCAGTCACAGCAACAACTTTGCTGTTACAGAGGATTCTTGGCTAACCTGAAATAAATGGCCCTTACTAATGCACAGGTCACATTTCTGCTTCTCTTGGAATGTTAAACGTTGTGCACTTTCAGTGGACTCAGTTTTGCAGTGTCCTCACCTAGCAAACCCTTTTCAGTCAGTAAATTGTATTTGTGCAGGCTCTGGGGCTTTCTCTTGTGTTTCACTTTCTTTCCTCTTAAATGGAATCCTAAAACAAATGACTCCATGGTAGTATTTCAAGTAGCTATGTAGCCTTAAAGCTCTAATAATGGTTTGGGGGATTTTTTTTTTTTTTATTATTGTATTATGCAGTTAAAATTGGAATTTTCTAAAATAACATTTTAAGTTAAAAAGAATCCTCATATACCAACCCTTTTGTAAGTTGCTCTGAATTTATTTGTTTAAGACATGTTTTATTTTTATTACAGCTGTATAAAAAGTCGTGATCTGCTATTATGAATATTGAATTTGTTTCCTCCTCAAACAGGCACAAAATGGAATATTCAGTAAAAAAAAAGAAAAAAAAAAAGTCATATTTACAATGACGTAACATCTGAGAGATCAGTGGGTTTATTTGATAAATGACCAAAAATGGCTCTATTTGCCTGATGGCATGTTTGTCACAGTTTACAGGCAGGGCTAAATATGACTTGTGGGCTCTACCTCAAGAGATAACCCAATTTTAACTGCTCTGTAGATCTGTTGTGTATTACTGTGACTAGAGAATAACACCACAGCAGCTCAGCAAACTCCTCCTGTTTGCTTTGGTTTGACACTAGTCTGTGCTGTGGGAACCAAGTGCTAGTTAAAGCAGACAATGTTCATTACCTACTTCAGCTACAAGTTTTTTTCTTGTCTCTTGAAAAATAATGTGATGGGAAAGGTGGATGGCACCACGTGGCCATGGAGCACTAGCTGACATCAAGTGACTTGGAAAGCTGATAATGAGTTTTGGAGGTGATAAATGTGTTGCTGTGTATCACCCTTTGGCTCTCTGAAATGCTGGGTTTAGGCAGGTCATCTCACATTTAATTCATTGTTTTAAATCAAAAGTCAATTTTTTTTTGTCACATGTGAACTGTGGTGAAAACCATCTGAGGGAAAAGAATTGTGTGTTGAATTTAGCATAGTCTTTGTCCCTCGAGGTAATGTTGTCTTTGAGGCAGTTTTGCCAAGATAAATGTGGGTGGCAGCAAAGGTCAAAACAACTTAGCCTTAAAGTGTTTCTGTCCTTGTAAAAATATCTCTAACAGAAACATGCTTGGAACGTTTCCCCTTTTAAATGTAATTTATAATTTCTGCTTTCCAACTCGTAAGGATGGATCTTATTCTGAGCAAATGAATACTGTAAATATCCTTGTCATACCTTGAATAAATGGGTACCTTTTTCTATAACGTGTCTCTGTGTCTCTTTACCTGCACGTTTGAAGAAAGTCTGACAAGTTTTCCTTTCCAAAGGGTCAGGAGTGCTTGCTGCTACTGCTTGGCCATCCTACACTGTTGTGAATTTTACAGTAAATAGTGTCTTTGATCAATATTAAAAGGAAAAGTTTCCTCTCTTTTTTAACATAGTCCTTTGACATAAACATCCCTCTAGTTTTTTAGCTTCCAGTTTTGAACACATTGTAACAAAAAGTTATGTGGGAAATAGTTTCTTTGTTAAAGTACCTCCTTTCCAAGGCAATAACTGAAACTTTAGGAGAACAAAAGCAAACTTCTGAAACTTGGAGCAGGTTTCAGCCCCTGTGCTTTCAGCTGAGCTCAAGGATATGACCATGAGTTCCCTGTATCCTAGAGAGTGGCCTGATAAGCAGGTTTGGCATTCTGTGGTGCTTGGCCAAGCTTTCTGCCCACTGATAAGGATTTTCACAGCAGGAGTAGAGCAGCAAAGCAAGGATTTAACCTGCTTGGTGAGGTGGCGTGTTGGTGCTATATGCTACTTAGTGCCCTAAAAACTTAATTTGACCAAAGTGCCAGCCTCTCAACTAACTCTGAACAGGTATAAATTGAAAGAGGGGAAAATTAGATGTTAGGAAGAGGGTTTTTTTCCTGTGAGGATGGTGAGACACCGGCACAAGTTACCCAGGGAGGTTGTGGATTCCCCAACCCTGGCAGTGTTCAAAGCCAGGCTGGATAAAGCCTTGAGCAACCTGCTCTGGTGGGAGGTGTCCCTGCCCAGGGCAGGGGGGTGGGACAAGATGATCTCTAAGGTCCATTCCAACCACTTAACATATGATGTTCACTATGTTTTACCAAACTGGTTCTCTGCTAAGGATTCTAAAGAACTGGCACTTCCTGATTTAAAAGGAAAATAAATCCCAGCAATTTCTGGTTACATTTGTTAAACTTTGAGAGGTATAAGTACAATTTTTATCTGTATGTAGCTCATGGCCTCATAGTTACATTCAGTGACTAGTCACCACTTATTAACCAGGAATACTGTGTTACTGCTCACAATATGGTACCACTGCAGTCTAGAGTCTCTGTCGAGAAAGAAAGAAATCTTGTCTTTGTGGCAGATGTAAAATCAAGGTTTTATGGCATTACTTTAAATTGTTTACTCATCAAATTTCAAGGTACAGACTCGCCTACTTGTTGCCTTTCCGGTTTGCATAATTATCAGTCAGGCTGGAGAGTAGAGTCCATGTCCCTAAACCAAACATATGTCTCCCAGCTGTCTCTTCAGGTGTCCCTGCCAGCCCTTGGCCTCCTGTCTCTCTTTCTCTGGCTGCCATGTCCTGGCTTCCTTTGGCTGTTCTACCCTGTAAATTACCATTACCAGCTGTGACATCACTGGCATGTCATTACCAGACTGATTTACCCAGCAGAATTTGGCCTTTGTGGCCCATTTGTTCTAAGCTTTACCCCTCTAGTATTGATCTTGGCATGTTAAAACATCTTTCAGAAGACTTGGATCTCATGCTCAGCCCAACAAAGAGATTCTGCAGCTGCTGTAATCCCTGGCCAAACCTAATTTCCCCACAATTATATGCTAAAGCATCCTCCTCAAATTCATAACAATTTACACAAAAATGACAGGGCTGTCATGGAGTCATTTGGGGTGGAATTCATCATCTCAGACTAAGTGTTATGACTGATAATTTGGGATATGGAGCAATATGTATTTATAGAAATCCATTTACGTGTTGCTTACCAGCCATTAATGGTAGTTTAATTAATAGTTTACCTGCTGAGGCAGTGTCTGCCCGGAGGTACTTGCCAAAAAAAAACATCCATGCTCCTGTATGCTTTCTAGCAGACACCATTTTTCATCAAATGCCACTTTTCCAGGCAATGTAGTGGATCTCCTATAAAAATATCTACATTTGGGTTATCTTATTGCTCACAGAAGCATTGGGTTCATGGCTGAGCAGGAACGTGGTGTCCTGTGGTGGGTTCCTGGTTGTCCATCACGGGAACATGGTGGTCCTACGGTGGGTTCCTGGTAGCCCATCAGAGGAATGTGGTTGTCCTGCAGTAGATTCCCGGTTATCCATCACAGGAACGTGGTGGTCCCACGGTGGATCCTGGTTGCCCATCAGAGGAACGTGGTGGTCCTGCGGTGGGTTCCTGGTTGCCCATCAGAGGAACGTGGTGGTCCTGCGGTGGGTTCCTGGTTGCCCATCAGAGGAACGTGGTGGTCCTGCGGTGGGTTCCTGGTTGCCCATCAGAGGAACGTGGTGGTCCTGCGGTGGGTTCCTGGTTGCCCATCAGAGGAACGTGGTGGTCCTGCGGTGGGTTCCTGGTTGCCCATCAGAGGAACGTGGTGGTCCTGCGGTGGGTTCCTGGTTGCCCATCAGAGGAACGTGGTGGTCCTGCGGTGGGTTCCTGGTTGCCCATCAGAGGAACGTGGTGGTCCTGCGGTCAGGGCTCCCCGCGGCCACCAGGAGGAGCCGCGAGGAAGGGAAACGCCCGCGGCAACGCTGGGAGAGCCCGAGGGGTCTCCGGCTCTTGTGGGCACCAGCGCAGAGCCCATGTGCTACAGACCCTGAGCAGGCGGTCAAGTGATGTCTCATGTGCTCAAAGCCAAAACACACCTTTTATCATCTGTCCCATCAGCTGTGCCACGACCCAACAGCTCTGAGTCCTATTGCCGGTAAGTGAGACCTGAAAAACAGCTAGGAAATCCGTGGCTGAGTCTTTTTAAGCTTGATTTAATTTAGGCTGGGTGACCGCAGTGTGGCTTTGAAACACAAATAGGATGCTGAGCTTTTTATAGAGAGCTGTGGGTGCCGCAATGCTGCCCGTCAGCCCCTCTCTGGGCTGGCAGGGTTGGAAGCAGCTGGGGTGCACTCCAGAGATTGGAAACACAAGCTTTACACTTGGCACAGCCCAGCTGCCTCACTGCCTCCTTTTATTCTTCAGGCTTTTCTCCAAAGCTCTTCCAGTAACATCAGAGAAATCAAGATTTCACATTGATTTCTGGTTTGGGTTTTTTTTTTCCAATTTAATTCTACTGTTTTGAAATAAAAGGCTTTTTTTTGGCCCCAAATGTTTTACATCACCAAAAAAATCCCCGTGTTAGGTCAGTCTTTAACTATTGGTTTAGTTTCCATATTGAAACCAAGAAGTTCTGCAGTGAGTCTTCCATGGGGCCTGGCTGAGTGGCTTTTCTCATTAACTGTCCAACTTTGTGCCTCTAGAAATGAGCAACAGAGCTGGTAAAGGGTCTGGAGCACAAGTCCTGAGGAGTGGCTGACAGAATTGGGGTGTTTAGCTTGGAGAAAAGGAGGCTCAGAGGGTTCGTATGGCCCTCTGAACTACCTGAAAGGAGGTTGTGGTAAGGTTGGTGTCAGTCTTTTCTCCCAAGTAACAAGAAACAGGGCAAGAGGAAATGACCA